CAAGCTCTTACGTTGATATTGGAGATTTCAATAAATTCAATAAAAAGAAAAAAAAACAATATCCGAATAACAAAATTGAAAACCGAATAGATGGCCAACGGCTGAATATTCGGATACCTGCCTCCCTCTCTTACCTATGGCTGGAGCCAATCAGAACCATCTTGGTGCTCTTCTTTGTGTAAACTCCCAGACCCACCTGGGCCATCAGGTAGCAGAAATGAGAAGCATCGATCAGCCCCTTGGAAGCTGCAGCGAAACAACGCAGGGCCCGACAGAATGTGAGGAAAAGTCTTTTTTGTGGTTCAGAATGAAAACAATACTACGTAGTTTAATCTTTTAAATCACTTCTTAAAACTCATCTCTTATTTAAAAATGAATAATGCCACTACCCGGTTTTACTCTACATCCATGTTTTATTTGTAATCACTTTATATTATCCATTTGTATTATTGCTGCTATTGTTGAAACGTTGTATATATATATTACAGCCCCTAATGGACCTGGACATTACATACATGTATCTCCCACACAGAGGAGTTTACTTTGAATCCATGTAAAGCACTTTGTAACTTTGTTTTGATAAGTGCTGTATAATAAAGTTATTATTATTATTATTACTATTATTGTTATTATATAGTTGAATGCAGTCAGATTGAGTTTTGATGCATTCCTACCCAGAGTGTCTCCCATGGTGCTGATGGTGCGGGTATCCAGGTCCAGAGTGTGTGTGAGGTTAGACAGCACCATGGCCAGGTGGGGGCGCCAGTCACCCCACTTCTCCTCTCCGCAGCACTGCATGAAAACAACACATATCTTCACTTGGAAGGCAATAGAGAAACACAGGGTCACACACCCTGAGCCACTTCTGAGGAGAAATACAGAAGAATATGGAGGGGCTAAAGAGAGAGAAAAGCTCACAGTGGCTGAGGCCGGCATCCTCCCTGACATCAGCTGGTACACTGTCTGCAGGGGGTCGTTGATGGGCAGACTGTTGGCAAACCTACACAGAACAGGACACACACATTAAATAAGACATATATGACATACTGTGGGTACACATACTATGTACTGTGGGTGAAGCTATGATTCAAAGTCACAGCTTTTTAATGTAATTGCTGCTTTACCTTGTCATGACGCGTGCATGTGTCCTGTTGTCCATCTTGCTGGCCAACAGCAGGGCGTGGCCCCAGAGGCCCCCCTTCATAGCTGCTTCTAGTGCATCCTATTTCACAGACAAAGTGTAACTCATTAAGATTTTACAAGATGCTAGTTTGTGACTTTAATTATGATGATAATAACAAATAATTATATTATTGAGCACTTTTTCTAACTAAACTAGAAAGTGCCTGACATGGTTCAACAGAAACAGGACTGCAATGACATCCAGTCAGAGAATTACAACAATACAAATACAATGCTAAAAAATAGAGTAAATAAAAGTATAATTAAAATGTTTTTGAACCTTGATTTTAGAAGTTATTTAATAAGTAATTAGCTCTATTTCTTCCTCTTCTTTGTTGATTTTCATTTTTAAATCATATATATTTTTTAATCTTTTATCTTAATTTGCTTAGCTTTTTTTGGGCTCTAACCATATCACTTCTTAAAATGCAAATACATTACATTACATTATGTATAAAATAAATATATACAAGTAATCAGTGAAATGTTAAGATCTTCCTGTTAACCGGTGAAGACACACTCCAGCAGAGCTGATGTGATCACCCTCTCCCAGAGTTTGGAGAGCAGAGCTGGGACCTGTTCTCTACCTTCTTGCGGCCAAACAGCAGCAGCTCTCTGAAGCGTTCAGTTTCCTTGCCCAGGTTTTCTGGGACGATCATGAAAGTGTCGGAGAGGAGAGACAGCGGCCCGGCGCCCGGCTCTTCCTCAGCTCGAGCCAGCGGCTCGTTGTTAAAATCTATCAGGTTGGCTTCATTAGGACTTTTCCCCGGGAGCCAGACGGAGCGGTGCTCCTTCAGCAGGAGGTCAGCGATGTCCGTGCCGACCACCGTCTACAGAAACAAGAGTGACAGTGGGAAAGTGGTTTTAGAAAAATATACACATTCTCACTTTGACATATTTCCACCTGAGTTCCCAGACTCACCCCGTTCTGCCTGCAGAGCAGCATGATGAAGTCCCACAGCAGGCGGGCAGAGTCCCGGTCGAGGAGGTTGTTGTCCCGAGCGCACTCCAGAGCTTTGTTCTGAGAGAACTTGATCACATCCACCTTATGGGTCTCTTCCCTGGTGGAGGACATAAGATTAACCTTTATTGATCTCCGTAGGGAAATGCAGGTGCTCTAGCAGCAAAAGAACAAGAGAGGATCATAGGAAGGGAAAGATGAGAGTTCACACAAGGATAAGAATAATACAAAAGAACAGGTTAGCAGTGCTTAGTGGCTACCGGCTTGCTAGTAGTAATAAAAAAAACTAAAAGAAAAGAAAACATATATTATTGATTTTTTATATATATATATATGATGCGTGCTTTCTGTAGGACACAACAGGCTTTGTGTGGAGAAATACAGAGAGGTAAAAAAGTGATAAAGTGTGAAAGGCTTTCTGTTTACAATAACAATAAAATACTTTTCCAGCCTTGTTCTTTAAAGCTCAATGACTCAAAGCTATTAGAGGATTTACAGAAAGGGCAGAATGCACTGACTTCACAAGAGGGCCAGGGAAAGCCCGCAGTTCTGCCTGTTCGGGGGTATCCTGCAGCATTGTCTGCAAATAGAGAAATGGATCAAAATGCTGCTTTATAGTGTCAGAACATAGTGTAACTTTCAGAGGGAAAAACAGGATGCAACTGGAAAGGTTATATGTTCTGAATTATACCTGTAAGGTTGAGCAACATATCTAACAGATTCTACAGATAGTGAAGAAAATCATGAGTCTGTTTGTCTAACAGTCATGTTTACACCTTGACATGTTTCAATCCCTTACCGCTGCTTCATTCATTCATTCATTACAAACAGTGGACCAAATCTTCCCGCAGTAAGGTGCTGAAGTATTATCAGTTAAATGTACCTCCAGGTTGTGGATATCAACGAGAGCAGGCTGGCCAGCTGAGGGCAGGTTGGGCAGAACTTGGATCAGATGACCACCGGGGCCAAAGCGGGCACAGCGGTGGGGCATGCTGAACTTCTCTGGGGTTGCAGGACGAGGTGGAGCTACAGAGGAAACATCACTCAGAGTAAGAGGAGGTGGAATTTGAAGTCTATGAATGAACTCTCGTCAACTTTCCGTGCAAATGCCAGACTTCTGGTCGATTTAGGGACGTCACAGTGTTAAGGAATAGTGGCTAGGAGAATTCAAAAGGACTTAGGAAAAGACGACCAGGCTTCAAGAGAATCCGACTGCACTGACACTATCTGACGTGTTTCACTTTACTTTTTTATTTCAGTTCCAACCATGGTAATAAAGAATATATGATTCACTGCTGTCTACGTTCATAAAGCCCACATGTACTGAGCGTTCTTATGGTGTTGTTCTATGTGGGCTTTATGAACGTAGACAGCAGTGAATCATATATTCTTTATTACCATGGTTGGAACTGAAATAAAAAAGTAAAGTGAAGCTTATTGTTGTCCCCCTCCCCCTACGGTCCACACGTATTAATCCACATGAATCCTAATACGTATATGATTGTATGAAAATATTTTAAATAAATACAATTGTATTTATTATAAACTTGTTAGGCCTTAAAATCTATCACTGTGTATATCACCACAAAACAGTTTAAGAAGCCCCACACAGCTCAGTAAACACTGTGAAATGTTGACTTTATTTAATCCTTTTACAGTCAAAAAAATCTGTTCATATTTCTCCTTTTGATTATTATAGTGTTGACAGGTCAAAACAAAGCCCTTTGGCAAGCTATGGTCTGCGTTGTTAAATGTTGGATAAGCACAGTGACATGATCCGCATTTCTCGGTCACGATCGGTTGTTTCCGTTAGCGGCCGAATGTTGTGTCACGGTTAATGTTGCTGCAGCAAGGCATTGTGGGGCTTAACTGACAAATCAAACCCAACCTTAGAACGGTGTACTCACGTTGCTCGGGGGCGGTCCAGGTGCTGTCTGCGCTGTACTCGGAGGGGTACAGGTACTGGTTGTAGTTCTGTGTAGCATCGGCCTGGTTCTGGTACTGTGCGTAGGAGTAGTCCACAGCCAGAGTGGAAGAGGTGGTGTCATAGACGGCTGACACCAGGTCAGGCTGGCTTCTGTACACCTGGCTCTGCAGGGGGGGGGACAAATGGAGGTAATTATCGGAATTGCAAGATAAGAAATTCAAAATAAAGCAAACACCAACATACTTAAAAAAACAGGAATACGTTTAAAACTCATTTCAAAAGAGCAGAGTTGGCCATTTAGTTTGATACCAAGACATTTTGATTTCAGAAAGAGGTGCAAGGCCAGTTTTTTATCCCATGCTTGAGATAATCACTTGGACAATGCTAAGAACCGTATGCAATAGTGTCGAGTAAATAGTGCAGCTGGTCCTGATATTACATTTGGATCAATAAGGTATATCTTATCTTAGCTAACTTGCTTACAAATAAAGGCTTAAAGTGTCAAGAAACTGTTGAATGAAGCAGCTGAGAGCCAAAAAGGATCATTAGACTCCCTGAAGGCGGATCTGACAGTACATAACGTATGCATTCAGAAGAATATGTGTTGTTTTACCTGCTGTGATTGTGAGCTGAAGCTGCTCCTCCGGCTGGTGTTGCTGTGGGCGCTGTGCACGCTGTGGGCCGACTGCTCACTGTGGACACTGCGGCGGTCGAAGTCATCCCCGAACACTTCTCCACGGCGACGGTAATCATCATCAAAACTGGCATCATAACCGGGGTAGTACCGCCACTGATCATCGAAGCCCTCTTTCCTGTGAGAGGAGATACAGAACTACAGTTGAATCAATCAATTTGCAAAAAAACTGCTGCAATGAGGTATTTAGACATGATCATTCAAACAACAAAAGGTTAACCATTTTTAAACGTTTTAAATACATTTTTCCATCATTTCCATATAAATTGATAAACGTTACACCATAACACCTTTTTACACAGCTCCATTTTTTACTAAACATGTAATAATGTAATTTATATGTACACAATGTGTCTTCTGTGCATACCTGGCAGGATACGCTTGTTGCTGCTGATTATAGTAGTTTTCTCTGCCTCTGCAGCTTTCATCATAATTAGCCCAGGCCTGATCATAGTACGCTCTGTATCGCGGGTCATACGCTCCATAGTTGTATGCTACAAACAGAAAATATACATTATTTTAGAACAAATTATGCATCATTATGTTTACTATCCAATACTTTTAACCTGAGCTCTTACCTCCATAATCATAGTGCTTGGCGTAATCTGCATAATATTCATTGTAGGTACTTTGGTTTGCTCTTTTGGGATCTTCAGGATAGCCTTGCCTGCGGGAGAAAGCAGGAAATAGATGACATTTACAGGTAAGATACAAAAACAACAACATACTTATCAGGGATTTTTTTAAATGTTCGTGTAACATATACCCATCAAGAGAACCTTATTTAGTTAGCAATATATTCTCTTTTTAAGTAAGACACTTAAGAACTGCTTTTAAAAGTGCTGAATTGACATGAAGTTGGTATAAATTGTGACTTTAAGTATTAAAAGTAAAAGTTTCAATACAAAACAAATAAGAAAAAGCAGCACATTTGGGAAGCTGGAACAATTCAAATAAGTTTGAATCAAGATAGTTTTCATCCAATTTTTTATCGACTAATGGATAACTCATTCCAACTGCCCTTTACACTACTGTAATTAGTACAATATTTCCATCGAAAATGTAAGGAAGTAGAAAAATAAAGGGTCATAATGCTTAATTACCTACAAGTATGTCCAATTTGTAATTTAAATAAAGTACTTGAGTTAATGTTCCATCACTGAGCCAGCGTATCACAGACCTGGAGGAGGAGCGGTCAGAGTACTGGCTGGCTCTGGAGCTGGGTCTCTCCGGCTGAGGCTCTCTGTACTGAAGGTTTGGATCCCGATAAGCTGCCGCCTGTCCTTCATATCTGCCGTACCACGGATCAGCTCTGCCCCTGTACGAGCCATCCTGAGAGATGAAACACTTTTTAACTTTTTTTTAACACTTTTTCTTTCATTTGATGGTTGCAGTTGGTCATGCATGATCTTCTTCTGCATTTCAAAACTAAAAGGACTTTTTACATACTGGATAATATTGCTGTGCTCTAGGATCCCCGGGTGGTGGAGGAGGCGGGTACGGGCCAGGAGGCTGAGGCGGGTACTGGCCAGGAGGCTGAGGCGGGTACTGGCCAGGAGGCTGAGGCGGGTACTGGCCAGGAGGATAAGCTGCTCTGCCGTCCGGGTATTCTCCATAATTACCATAATAGCCACCATACATCTGCCCTGGTCCTGGAGGAGGAGGGGGCCCATAGCCCTGCTGGCTGCCTGCAGAGGAAGGTGGTCGAGGGGGCTCACCAGGAGCAGGCTGGGGAGCTCCTGGAGGTGCAGGTCCTTGAGGCCCTGGAGGGTATGCATCCCCTGCAGCAGGTGCTGGTGGTGGGTACTGGTCACGGGAGGGGGGTGCTGCACTCACAGGAACCGGAGCAGCATAATGTGGTCCCGGCGGTGCAGCCTGAGACGTTTGAGGAGCTTCAGCTGGAGGAGGCTGGATGTTTGCAGCTGCTTGAGGGGGGGCCGGTGGTACCTGTGGGGTAGAAGAAGAAGAGGCAGGGGTCTGGACAGGGACATTCCCCATCGCTCTTCCCCCCTGCTGAGCGTCTTTGGTGACCTGTAGGTAAAATCCATTACTGGACTGTGGAGACTCATGCTGAGAGGATGGGATGTGAGCTTGTGATTGGTGCATAGAAAAATCAAGCAGTTCGTAATTTGAAGGCTGATTATGATTAGAGACAGGAGCGGCTGCGAGAGAAGCTTGTGGATTAACTTGGAGAGCAGAAAGGCCCTCTCCAACAAATGATTGGCCCCTTGAGAGAGGAGAGCGGGCAGGCTGAGACTGAGGCAGGTCTAACATCGCCGAGTCTGCATAGTCTCGGGTCAGATTGAGCGGGCCGTGATTAGAAGCTGAAGGATTGAAGCTTAAAGGTCCAGGCGTGAACAATTGATTCTGATCAGAGGTTACAGGAGGTGGTTGGGAGGTACTGGCACCCTGTCCCTGTGGGAGTGGCCTCACAGGGGGGGTGGTCTCCTTAAGGCTTGGTGCTTGAGCAGCAGTACTGGGGGGAATCACGCTGTAATTAGACACAGGCGGGGCAATCAAAACCGGCTGCTGGATCGAGTCGGCAACAAGGAGAGAAGCATAGCCCAGGTTGCCATGGAGGTCAGCCGGCTCTGCCTCACTCACCTGTGGGGGATTCTCAAGGTTTTCTGAGTGCTGGTGTGCTTGGGTTCTCTGTGGGGGCTGCAGGTCCAGAGGGACGTCCTCTGGAGGTTGGATCACGTCCACACTGGGCTCTCGTAAAGGGGCGAGAACTGTCGGGGCAGCGGGGGCTAGGAGGATGTTAGCGCCCAAGCTAGCAGGATCATGCGGGGCCCACAGAGTGGTGGCCGGGCTCTCACAGGGCCGACTGGCGCCAAAAGACCGGGATGAAGGTCGAGAGTGAGGAAGGAGCACTAGGTGAGGCAGATGAGGAACACCACCTCCAGGCCCAGCAGGCAAAGGATGTCCTTGGCCATAAATATTTTCCATATTATCTGGCGGCTGCTCCAGGTTTCCAGGCGGAGCTTCTGCACGGCCTTCCGCTACCACGTTAGCCCTGTCAACTTCAGCAGGGCGCACCCCTACTCCATGAGAGCGCACAGGTTCAAAGGAGCTGTTAGCGCTGGCCTGGAAGATGCCGGTTGGTTTGGGCGGGCTGGGTGTGGGGGCCCATATCTGCTCCTGGGGGCTCGGAGGTGCACCCATAGCTCCAGCTGGGGAAGTATCAATCTGCTCAAAGTAACCCCCAGTGGCAGCAGGCAGGTTAGCATCCTCAGTGAGACGTGGACTCTCCTGCTGAATAAAGGTTCCCACGACTCCCTGGTGCCGCCGGGTGCCGCTTCCACTGCCATGGCTCATATTGCTGTAGTTGGAGGACACACTGGTAGATCTAATTGGACGTGGAATCGAATCTGGAGTCTCCAGGTTTGGCCCTGTTTCATACTGGTCTACTCCCTGGGCTGCAGCAGTAGCAACAGGCGGGCTGCCATGCATTTCACTGGGTAATACTTCCTGGTTCGGGACACACTCCAAATTCTCCATGTGGTCGTTCTGCGGATCAGGGGGCTCCTGGGTGCTGGGCTGTGGTGGGTGGCAGCCTTCATTCATGTATGGTAGGTGTGAGTGATCCTGCAGAGGAGCATCTGATTGGCTGGGGTGGCTGTGATGCTGCAGGGATCCAGGAATACCGTTCTCAGCTTTATTTCTATCTCCAGCCAGTGTTTCTTCATTTTCCACATCGCTGTCTTTGAAGAACATTGAGAGGGAACCAGACTCCTGCGAGTATGGGACTGGAGCAGAACTAGCCCCAGTGTTGGACACATGTTGGGAAGCATGAGACTCGGGCCGGGGCTGAGGGTGGGCCAGGCCGGTCCCCATTTGGTGGTAGCCTGAGTCTTGCGGAGGCATGTTGAACCACGAGTCCTGGGGGGCCGAGCTCTGACTGAAGTAGCTCTGAGTTTGGAAGTGAGAGTTATGCTGCTGCGGTGCATTTGGGTCGGGCCATTGAGAGCTGGGGGCGTTTACGGGGTTCTGGGGAGGAAACTGAGCTTGAGACTGGGGATGCGCAGGTTGTGTTGGAGGGGTGGGGGCGTTGTGATGAGGTGATGGGCTCAGGGAGGGGTACATCTGGGTCTGCGGAGGTAAATTAAAAGGCTGTGGCGGTAGGTCGCTAGTAGGCTGGAAATAGTTCTGCACTGACGGAGGGCGACTACCGTGATCAGGGGACCACTGGGAATACGAGGAGGTGGGAGGCACCGGCTGGAAGGGAACGGGCTGAGAAGGGGGCCGCCCTTGATACTCCTGGTTTAAAGGTGTCTGACTCGGTGCTGGGGCTGCAGCTGCATGTGGGGGCTCCAGGGCCATAGATGGTGTCTGATCCGTAGAATTAAAATAGCCCTGTTCATTGTGTGAGGATGCATATCCTGCCGGGCCGGGTGCTGAGTAAACACTGGGGGCCGCTGCACTGTGAGGGTTGAACAGAGTCACCCCTGGTAGAGAGGACGGTAGGGGACCAGGGGGCGCGGCTGACCCACCCTCCGGAGTCTGCAGTTGAGGAGGAAGCCCTGAGCTGGCTTGCGAGTACATGGAGTTTGGAGGGGCTTGCATTGGTGGAGGGTTGCTGTTGGGAATTGTTGGGAGACCACCACCAGCCAAAGGGGGAGGAGCTCTAACAAAAGCAAAAGGGTTTGTCATGGGTTGAGTAGTGGGTGCCATTGGGGCAGTAGGTGCTGCTGCCGAGTGCTTGAGAGGCCTGGTCCTGCGGAACATATTGGGCCCAGAAGGAGGAGGAGGGCCGCCAGAGGCTCCTGGAGGTCCAGTCCAAGGAGGGGGCTGCATGGCTGCAGAGATAAAGGGTCCGAGGACCAGGTCACTCTCGAAGATGTAACTGAAGAGACTGAAGTCAGGCGACACTGGGGAAAGAAAAGCAAAGATGAAGTGGTAAACAAAAAGCTGCACATGCCTCTGATCGACTGCCACTCCTTTATTTACGGAGTGGGCTATGCTCTTATTTAAACAGCGATGCAACGTGGCAACTTCTTCATCACCTCGAGGATGTGATGAGAAATGATACAGTACTATATTCAGTTAAACACAATTTACTTATTGTAACACACACACACACACACACACACACACACACACACACACACACACACACACACACACACACACACACACACACACACAAGATTATGTCACTGAACAGTCTTGATTTCAAAAAGCACCTGCTTTAGGATCACAAACAACTCAAAGGGTAATTTTGAATCTGGTGGCTTCTAAAAAATGATAACAAGTCAAATGCCATCATGCCCTCATAGTAAATGTGTTTTATTGAGGATTGCAAAGGATGAGAAAATGTTGCTAATCTGATTAAATAAACGGATTTGGATTGAAGTTATTAAACAGGAACTTGCTGATTGGTTAACAAATACAATGTGTTAAATAAATCCGGCTGACAAATTGTACAGATGAAATGCTTGTTGGTAATTGTTGGTAACGTTAGTTAGATGTTAATAGACATGCCACAAAAACATATGACTTTTGTTCCACCTGGAGTAAATCCACAAGCTACCCTGCAGTAAACAAAGTCATTCAAACTATCTGCACCTTTACCAGCTTTGAGAACACTTTAATGATCTAAAACATATCATATATTATTCTGAAATGGACCAATCTGCACAATGACTACTTTTACTGTCGCTACTTTAAATATATATTGTGATGCTAATACTGTTCTACTTTTACTTGAGGAACATTTTGATTGCAGGACTTTTTCTTGTAACAGAGTATCCCTACACTCTGGTACGTGTTATTTTATTCAAGAACAAGATCTGATTACTTTATCCACCTCTGGCT